ACCAATAAATTTTCACTCAAATCTACCTAAAGACCACCTTAATTCAGTAACAAGCTAAAATATTGCCATCCATATAGCAGTGTTCAATTGGAATTCAGAAAACCCAAAAATAAAGTTTCTTCAGATTGGACAAGGTTCTTAGGGATAAATGTATTCACAATAGCCAAAGACCAGAAACCATTTAGGCTATAGTGGCATGGTTTTTTAGGACAAGTGATATAAACTAACTCTGCTACTGTAGTGGAAGAACTTCCATTATAGTACTTTATTTCCGGCTTCATGTTATTAACATTGTGGATCTACCAAAAGGAAACTTAACGGTACAAGCTGAGAAGATTATCCCCAAAGCAAATGGGATATCACAATAACAATTTCATCTACCACAGAACCTAAAAACTTAAACTAGTTTCCCATTTGAAATAAATCTTTATAATGTTTTTCTTCCTATATCCCTGTTAGGAAGGAATTGGAAGAGACACCAGGAAAGGTTATTGATACATGATTTCCTTCTACATTATGTACAAAGAAACACAGAACACCAAGACCTAGTCCTAGCCCTGTGCATCATGGCAGTCAAAGAAAAATGTATATCAAAATTAATTCAATCAAGGGCCCAGCTGGAGCCTAGTTTTCATAAAAGTATTCAACTTCTTCATAGCCCACAACTACTTGTGTTTTCAACAGAATACAAGGTTCATTTCAGCTAGAATGAAGAGTAACGCATAGTGCTATCCCACACCAATTCAAGACACATCTAGTATCCAATTTTATGCAATAGATGACAGGTATTATTATTAATCAAGATTTTAAAGCAAGGGAACAAACCGGATACTTCTTCGCAAAAAAGATTAGATTCTCCAATGATATAAACCCTCCACCCCTTCAGACAGTACAACAAAATTTTATTTAGTTAAGTGTCAAGGGAATAACCGATAAAGCACAACCACATGAAAATTCATAATGAAGAAAAAAAGGTTCACATACCTAAAATCTGTTGAAGGGTCTTCCCCTTGCCAACCCATATCTTTCCAGAGTTTTGATTTAAGAGATGGGAGCTCCCTATTGGGATAAGCCAACCTCCATAATTGTTTAAGTGCATCCTAAGAGAACAAAATTAAGCAAGTAAAACAAATATGATCCATCACATTCGTAGGTGAATCTTCTTGAGAACGGAGGGATGCAAGCAAATTGGTACTTGACCTCCACCACTCTCAAGACAACAGAGCATACAAAATTCCGTAGAAAAGCTAAATGATCAGGGGGGACACTGATTTGAAAACAATACCAAGTATACCTATGTATAAACCTTTTAATTTTAAAGTTACACTACAACTGAAGTCCTTGAAGTTAAAACGTAAAATTAAATGCATACTCAAAGCAAAGCACGAGGAAACATCCCAATATTCATAATTATGCTTATTTTGTAGACAAGTGTGGCAATATAAACAAATAGTAGCTAATAATTTTGAGAATGAAGCTAGATAGTAGCATGCTTATATAACAAATGCCAGGGATGCACACATAAAGGACCTAGACACAGGTACATGTATGTGAAATTTAATGCAGCAGCCAATGCCCATTGGATAGAGCATAATTTGGAAGGCTTATCCAAAATTTAGAAGGTTGGGAAGAAGTCAGAACCACTATCTACTAAAGGCTCAAAACAAAATTTCAACAATGTTCTACCATAACTAATTACAAAGAGAGAAAAATAATGGGACAGAAATGACTTTCAGTTATGCTGCCTGGAGAATACTTTCACAATAAATTTTCCTTTTATAATAATCTTAAGATTTCCAACCTTGATAACTAAATCAGTAGATAAAGTGAAAGCACATGCTGGGGAGAGATTAAGAAAGTGGAAATTATGTTATATGGTAGAACACCTACCTGATGCTCCACTCGAGAACCATCAAAGGGAACTTCCAGCCTCTGCTGCAGATTTCTGAACCTTTCTTCCTAAGAAGACAGCACTTAGCACCAAATATCACATAGGAAGCAAAACAAGTGACACCCATGTCACAGAATATAAAATAGAATGCTATTATAAAATAAGAACTGGCAATCCTTTTAAGAGAAACTACAGGGGAATAGAAAGGTTAAGGTAGGAAAGAAGATGACGACAAAGTAAACCTTCCTAAGTAGGTTTATTGCTAAGACTCTTCAATTTCGGAGCAACACCCAAGTCAGACACATGGAACTGGTGTATGTGGGATATATGTTCAATACAATGAAGACTCCTAGGCTGTAAATTGTAATTAAAATATGAAGATGGGGAATTACTTTTTTGAGACGGAAAGAATCTGTTTTGGAAAAGATGATCTTTTAAATAATGAGATGGAATATTGGTTCTGGAATGTCTCATCTTGAAAGTTTTGCATAATAATACTTTTTTTATGTACTCACATAGTAATGCTTGGTCAGTTAATTAGTAT